CTCTGTTCAGTCACTTGGACCTCAGGAGAGCCTGATATAGAACCCACGTGCTCTCAGAGAGCCAAGGGACAGCCTGGCATTGGCACCCTTGGGAGAGGCTGGAACCCTATTAGGCAATTTCAGTCAGCGCTCCATAAATGTTAGTTGCATAATGCATGATCCCTTGCCTGGCCTTTGATGCTGAGTTGTGACAAAAAACAATATCCTGATTATCTGGCTGCCTTTCCAGAGTGTCATCATCAGTGGTTTTAACCAAGAATGTTACTCAAATGATTTCAAACAGCTGGCTCACCACCTCGGGTTTTTTTCTTCCCTTTGGTGCCCTGTGCCACTTGGACCACTAGGGGGCACACGTTTTCATCTCATTGACAAGGCAGTAGAGCACACATCCCTTCAACAGCTGCCGCACACCACCACCGCAGTGCAGCTCACTCTAACTTCTGTAAAAATTTTTTGTATTTGCAAAAAGGAAATGAACAATAACTAGAAGCATAAAAATATTCACAGCAAAATTATTAATGAACTTAAGACAGCATGTAGGAACCAGGTATTATTGTACTTAAACACTTACTTGAACAACCAGTTCCCCTTGGGGTTGTTTTGAATAGATTAAAGTGGCAGTTTTTTTTCTTCTCTGAGCCATTCTAAGACACCTACTCTACGCATTCATTTCATCTGTCTCAACAACAAGCTGCGAGGAAAGCCCCCCATGAGAGGTCATGGCCCTTCATGTATCTACCAACACTGGTGTCTCTATTTTCTAAACTCATAAGACTTTTCAGATATAATCAGTAAGATGAGGGTAAAGATGGTGAAATATTCAATTTTATTGTCACAGCTACAAAGCCTCCAACATAATCTGCACCCTGATACTGGGCATGTCAAGAACAGCCACCCCAGAGGTGCCCCTGCTGATTCAACAGCCACACCAAAGGGATGTTGTGTCACTACACCAGTTGAACACCTTCTTCCCTCCCAGCTCTGGGGGTTTTCTAAACATTTTTTGCGGTTGATGGGCTGTTTTCTGGGAAAGTGCCGGACATTCTCCCTGGGCCACAGTCAGCACACTGCCCAGTCTCCCCGACCTTCCCAACCACCGTCGCAGGCCTGGGGCGTGGTAGAGTGCTGCACAAAAAAAGGGCTGCAGGGTGCAGTGTTGCTGACTCTGCCAGGCCTGGCTCTGCTCTTTGTAGCTGTGGGACCCTGTGAAAGTCATACTTTCCTTGAAACTCAGCTTTCTCATCCATATAAACAAGGGATCTAGTCTCAACAACTTCTATGGCACCTCCCAGCTCCCAGGTTCTGATTCTAGTGGTCACATAGCTAGATCCGTCCCAAAGCGATTCCAAGGGCTGACAGGTGGCATTAGGCTTGTGTGGGGTTGGGGTAAATGGAAAGGTGGCTTGGCACCTAAAGGAATACTGAGTCCCTTCTTGTGGTTCTTCTTTCTTAATTCTGAGTCTGATATTCTGCTCTTTATATCTCTTCAGCAAAGATATTCTGGGTGGCTTCTATTTGACTTCTTCAGTTTTAGCATCACTTTAACTTATCTACATGATAATTGACTGCTTTTATTTAAATATATTTAAATAAAATATGTTTAAATTGTTTTAATATATTTAAATATATTTACATTAACTATTTAATATAAATTTATTTGTATAAATAAGATATAAATATTTGCTATAAACTTATTAAAATATATTCAAATTGGGTATATTTTAAATATATTTTTAAAATTCTGGCTCAGACTATATCAGAATTAATTTTTAAATAAATGTTCCTTCATAGTGATAACAGATAATGCCATGTTAAAAAAACCATTGACTTGGATGAGAAAGGTCTGGTAGCTGTAGCCATTCAAGCTCTTAAGTTAATTACACTCTCCTCAGCATCTGGATGTACAGATGTATCTAGAAGAAACTATGGATAGAGAGGTAAAAAAATGGGCAAGTATGTGTATTAGGGTGACATAGCATTAGAATTATGTGTATGAGTATTAGGTTCAACAGTCAAGTACTAAGTTAATACTAAACCTGCCTGAGTCATCTGAGTTCAAATACATATACTTGTATGTATGTAATATATTCATGTATATGGTATATGCAACATATCTTTGCTTCCTAACCACCCAGTTCCCAAACTCTAGAATTCCCAGTGGACAGTCTCAAAGACTTATGTAAAAGAAGAAAAAATTGCTGAAGTTGACGGCATTTTTTTTCCTTCCTTCTAGGCTAGTGGTAAAGTCCCTGAAGGAGAAAGGCATTGTGGAGCCTGAACTGTATGAAGAAGTTACAGTCTACTTCAGTGACATTGTAGGTTTCACCACCATCTGCAAATACAGCACACCCATGGAAGTGGTGGACATGCTGAATGACATCTATAAGAGTTTTGACCACATCCTCGATCACCACGACGTGTACAAGGTAGCCACTTCTCCCAGCAGGTTTAGATGACTGGATGGCCTTTGGTCAGCAGGGCCAGAATTGGTTGTTTCTGATGTTACTCAGATTGTTCCTGATCATTTATTTATTTACTTTTTAAAGATTTTATTTATTTATCTCTAGAGGGGAAGAGAAGGAGAGAAATATCAATGTATGGTTGCCTTTTGTGCATCCCCTGCTGGGAACTGGCCTGCAACCCAGGCGTGTGCCCTGACTGGGAATCCAACTGCGATTTTTTGGTTCACAGGCCCTCGCTCAATCCCCTGAGCTACACCACCAACCAGGGCTGTTCCTGGTAATTCATGATTTAATGAATCAGTGGTTGGATCTGAGCTGAAAGTGAAAGGAAGTGAAAGAATAAGAAGGGCCAGAAGTCAAAATGACCATGCCACTTAAGAAGCAGTTTGAAAGGAACCACTTCAAGTTCAACAGGAATGAATTTTGGGCACTAAATTTAGAAAAAATGACATACTCTCAAATCATCTTCAAAAAAAGGATAGTGTTTAGGCTGACTGCAAGTGAAGCAGAGAAGACACCGAAGTCTTAATAAGTAGAATAGGAGTATCTTGTTGAAATAGCAAGCATCATTCAAAGAAGACTAGAGAAGAACAGGGAGAACTTTCTGTAAGTTCAGAACTGGATCTACAATAGTATCTGACTAGAGTGCTGATAAGTCTAAGTTAGAAGAGGAAAGCAGAATTGAATTCCCACATTTGCATGTTGGAAAAGCAGCACACCATATGCAACAAGTAACTTCAGAACTAGAGCTCCCCATTCAAATCCCTATTTGCCCCTAACTAACCCTGTAACCTCAGGTCTTTGTTCTCCTGTGTGTAAAATGGGATGGTAATAACACCTACCTTAATGGGTTATCGTGACGATTATTTAGATAAACAATATACCTGAACCCCATATCCTTAAGCAAAGCTTAGAAGTCATTCATACAACGCTCTGTCATAATGGATATTACTCACAGAGAGGACTTCCCTTTTAGGGTTTGTTGTAGCCCAGGTCTCACCAGGTGCAAGTCAGAAAGCCATATTAACAACAGTTCTTGTTGGACAGAAAATAGTTATGCAATTAAGAGATAGCTGACAAAAAGAAGTTAACTAACCAATAAAAATGAACTATGTATATGATTGTGACAATTAAAAGGCAGGGCATTTATCAAAGAATAATTTTATACAATACTGTTAATATAAACCTACTACTTATTATAAGCAAAATGTAGAGTCACTATACTACAAGATTGTGTGTTATGTCTTGAAGGAATCTAAAATTATATTTTTTTCAAATAGTATGTGGAAAATGCTGAAAATGACTTTTCTGATAATTAAAGGTATTCCTAAAATTATGTAAAGCTGTTCAGATTTGAAATATTTAAACATTTGTAGAACTGCCAACACATCTGGATGATTTACATTATGATGAAGTACTTGCATATTATGATAATCATTTATAGCTTTTTTATCATCCACATTCCTAGACTAGAAAAACCCTGAAGAAATTAGCATAGAACTGATGCCAGAGAAAGTGTACAGGTCTGTGCTCATACTGAGTTCTCTTTTGTGTCTGACATGTGATTAACTGCTTCTGTTTAATTTCTTGTGCATTTTAAAGGGGCAGATTCACTGATGAGAAACTATTTCCACAGGTGGAAACCATAGGCGATGCCTACATGGTAGCTAGTGGTTTGCCTAAGAGAAATGGCAACCGGCACGCAGTAGACATTGCCAAGATGGCCTTGGATATTCTCAGCTTCGTGGGGACCTTTGAGCTGGAGCATCTTCCCGGCCTCCCAATATGGATTCGCATTGGAGTTCACTCTGGTACAGCATTGAGCACTGTAGCAAATAGAAACCATACGTATCCCTGTGGGCCAACTAAATCAGAAAGGATAGTTCTCTAATGTGATCAGTTTTCACATGAGGTTTACTCTGGACTCTGTCTGCCAAAATGAGGTCCCATTACTCATCCTGACATAATCAGACCCAGTCCCAGAGACTCTAGGAAACAGCACTTCTGACGGCACCTCTACCTCCTGGAACGATAGACACCAACCACATTCTAAAATAACAAGCTCCAGATTCCCTGTTTAAGTCACTGTATTTACTGTTCCATTTCTCCCCTCCCCATTCTCTCCTTCTCCTCTGCCCCCACTTCTGTATTTTTTCCACTAAAATATTACAGTATTTTAAATGGGTTAGACTATCTACACGGGGGGAAATGGCTGGTTGACTTCCTATAATAAAAGGGCATTTATACCCCTCTCACTGGTACACAAGAAGAGTTGTCGGCCTTGCAGGTAGAGATTTGAGAAGATGAATTACAGTTGTTATAGAAAAACATAATTGGAGAGGAACTCAGAAGTCATCTAGATTAACCCTTTATAGAACATAAATTATCTTCATAGGTTTGAGATAAGTAATAACAGCCCCTTTTAGAACAATCCCAGGATTTCCTGAAAATTCAGTTTCCAAAGCCAACTCACATCATTGTTCAATAGTTGTTCCCATAAGACAGAGTTTCCCTGTATTAAATTAAATCATATCTCACCATAATTTTTTGTCGCTGCTCCTCTTTCTGCCTTTCGGGCCTCCCAGAAGAGCCAGAGTACAGAAAACTCAGGAGGTCACTCCAGGCTTTGTGGCCAGGACCAGATAACTGCCTTTACAAAAGTCACCCTATGTCCACTCTGCCTGTCCCACACCTGGCAGGGAATATTGATTGATTAAGAAATCAGTGCAATTCTCAAAGTGACAGTAAATTGAAGCTAGAAACTGCAGCCATGTCTCTCACTGCCAGAACATAGACGTGGCCTTCCCCAGGCACGTGCACCGCCGAATGTCACAGATGTTTCCATACGCACACGAGGGAACTGCCTGGGCATCTCCCCAGCCAGCAACAGCACACCGTCTGTTTTCTGACCCACTGCAAATTGCAGAGAAAGGAACGGCGAAGGTCTGAGTGAACCAAGCCGGAGAGAATGGAGCTGTGGGTCCTGGCCCCGTCTCTTTCTTTGTGGCCTCGTCAGTGTCTGAGCTACCATATTGGGCCGGAATGAGAATACATGTTAAGCACACATACCTCTTATCTACTGTTATTAGCCTGGGTATTATCCTAGGGTTTAACCCTAAGAAATTAAAAGGTAGAAGTTAAGTAGTGGTAGTTGAAAGCAAGACATAGTATCTGCAGGGATTTTCTGCTTGCAGCCCCTCACCCCCCGCTTTATCGCTCATTTTTGAAGTGGAGAGTCACCTGTGAATAGACGGCAGGCACAGGTCAGAGATCTTCCGATCAAGTAGCTGCCTTTCCTGAAGCTTCCCTGCTCAAGGTTGATTCTTTTCTTTTGTTTATTTTTTGGTTTTTTGTTGTTGTTGTTTTACTTTGCATCAAACCGAACAGGGAAAAGCTCAGCCCTCAGGGGAAGATCCAGTATTTTTATTTTTATTTCAATGTTCATAAACACAGTGTATTTATAGGATAAATTTATAAAGAAACTCAACTCATATAGATCAAAATGCAACTAGAAATCAGTCAAACTAGAAAATCAATCATTACCTCTATCCGAAACCTAGATTTGCAGTGTGAGTTAATCTTTAACTTCTTAGTCTTTGACTTCTTGCGCTCAGTTGCTCCACACAAATACTTAATTAACAACCCTTCCTCCAGATGGCAGCGCACAGTCTGGCCTTAGCGTTGTTCTCCTTAGTGTGTTCTTGTGCCCCTCCCCCCACTCTACAGCATTAGCCTGGCACATGAGATGCTCAGGGAAGATTATACCACATCCTTGCCTTCTGGGCCTTTCATCATCATGCCATTAATCCCAGAAATGTTACCCTACTAAAAAAATAAAAAGTAAAACCAACTTGTGCTGTTGAGCCTTCCAGTGTCCTGTGCCCTCCAGCAGTTCAGAACTCTGGGCCTCATGGGTTAGCACAGGAAGCAGGTGATGGCGCTGTCTCCACTCTTCCTGACAGCTTCCGTTTCATTAACTGTGCCAGGGAAAATACTTTCTGAAAGCATGCACTGAATGAGGACACTTTCCTCACTGAATACATTCATTGAAAGCAAAAATCAAAACTCACGATTCGCACCCTCAGATACTGCTCCCTAAAATGAAGTTTCGGCACCGTGACCCCGAGAAGGGTCTGAACCACCTACCGCACTCTGGGATTTTCATTGCCTCTACTTCCTGCTTTTTCCAGGCCCCTGCGCGGCTGGAGTTGTGGGAATCAAGATGCCTCGTTACTGTTTATTTGGAGATACCGTCAACACAGCCTCTAGGATGGAATCCACTGGCCTCCGTAAGAAGGGAGATTGTTTTACTTAGAGGACAAAGATTCTTCCAGCAGAAGGGGACTGTGGGGTAAAACGCACACTAAGTGCCAGTGGGATGAAGAAGGACCCTTCTTCACATTGACTGAATGGGATCCTGTGCCATTCCAGTCCTTGGTGCCCTTGCTTTTGTTGTGGCTGCTTACCGATAATTATTCTTCCCTTCAGGCTCAGTTTTAGATGGTTTCTATTAGTCTGGGTTCATTTACAATGTATTCAGACATGCTCTACCTGGAATAGTCATGAAATTTAGCATAGATCCATGTGAGTTAAAAAAGTTCAGTAGGCTAGGTATGGAGTATACAACCTGGTTCACTTTCCTGTTCTTCTTCGGTTTGGTTTCCCTAGGAATTGGTTTTAGTAACAAATATAAGTATTTGTTATATGCAAAACCTATATTGCAGTTGCCTTAGCAAGGTAGAGGTATGGTGTGTTGCACGTAGGAGATGCTCAATAAATATTGATGACAATGATAGTAATAGAAGTACATACAAGAGAGAAAGAAGGCATTGGTAGATGTGGACGGTGATTGCAAAAACACAGGTGTTAGAACAGTATTTTGGCAGTTTACTGACAACCTGACACTGGTTCATACTGGAAAATCATGATACAGGACAATTATGTTGTCCATGATACAGGACAGATGAGTTAAAATGATTACTAGGCAAATCACTGTCTTAGGTAGGCTAGGGAGGAAGTTACGTCATCTTTCTAGGCGTCAAAAACTTGAAGATGTAAATTGAGAATGGGATACCAGCCTTGCTGGAAGGGTTCTGGAAGGATGTGAGCTAAGAGATGTTAAGCATTTAACAATCCTTTCTTACCTGGTAGGCATACAATATGGAGATACCATTACTCTTACTACTGTTATTGTTGGAGTGCCCATGACAGGAAAGGTGATACACAGAAATGGCCTTATGAACAGAAATATACCCTCACCACAAATGTGTCAGGAAGATAACAGTGTCCCAGAGAAGTAAAATTTGAGAAAATCAAGATCCTACTACTGTCTCCTGAATCTTTACCTTGTTGCCAACACTTAGGCTGCTTACTGGAACTTTTACATGGGGACCTAAATCCCAACTCTCAAGCTCAGCACCACAGGCTAAATCCAAAGCCAGGCTGTGGGGCTACCACTCTGAGCTGGAGTGAGAATCTATGGAGCACAGCCCGGGGAGCCCCATCACTCAGGACCCTGAAAAACAAGGCCAGACCTATGTTATTCCCCTGTGCGATAATATTTCTTATCTCACTGAATGTAATTTTATGAGTTCTTTCACAAAAATATCAAAACTGTCAAGAACCCTTGAAAAAAAATGTCCTGAATCACCAGATTCAGGCCATGCGATAGATTTTAAAATTGGCAAGATTTCCATGGACCTATTTTGTTTTTCCAGCCTTGAGAATTCATGTGAGTAGCTCCACCATAGCCATCCTGAAGAGAACCGAGTGCCAGTTCTTGTATGAAGTACGCGGAGAAACATACCTAAAGGTAAGGAACCCGCAGAGGAAGTACCCAAGAAACACCACTCAGAGACACGCGCGGCCGACTTGAGACTGGACACCCAGTGGTAGTAATGTTCAGGAGCATAAGATGAAGGGTCCTTTTCTGTAGTCCCTGCTTTGATCCCTCTCCATCACTGAGTGATCACCCACTGTCCCCATGATGATCACCCTCTATCCCCACAGTGATCACCCTCTATCCCCACAGTGATCACCCTCTATCCCCACAGTGATCACCCTCTATCCCCACAGTGATCACCCGCTATCCCCACAGTGATCACCCTCTATCCCCACAGTGATCACCCACTATCCCCTCAATGATCACCCACTATCCCCATGATCACTACCTACTATCCCCACAGTGATCACCCTCTATCCCCACAGTGATCACCCTCTATCCCCACAGTGATCACCCACTATCCCCTCAATGATCACCCACTATCCCCATGATCACTACCTACTATCCCCATGGTGATCACCCACTGTCCCATGGGTAAGAGAAGCCACCACCAAAGAATGTGAAGTCAACTTCACTTCATAGAGCCCTGTAGACAGTTTGGACTATAACAACTGTGTTATAAAATGCTGCCACCATTTTTTCCACATGTACTCAAGTTTTGCTCCCAATTCTTCCTCTATACCCAAGAGCTATACTGTGGTTGGTCCAAGACTAAATTAACTTAAGTCAAAATTCCCATCTTCTTATGTCCTTGCTCTTACTGCAAGACATGGCCGCTCTCTAAGGCCACCTCTCTGGCCAGTTGCTTTATCCTTCTGGAACTCTAGACAAGAGAATCTAAAGAGTGGCCCCAGACTTCTGACTCAGCATCACCTGGGTGCTGGTGAAAAGGCAGATGCCTGAACTCTCCACCAGGCTTACTGAGTAAAACTCTCTGTGGGAATAAACTAGGAATAAATTCAACCTGGGTATGTGCCCTGACTGGGAATCAAACCCAAGACCTTTTGGTTTACGGGACGACACTCCAACCAACTGAGCCACGCAACCAGGCCAACCAGAAATCTATGCTTTTATGATTGTGGCGCACACTAATGTTTGAGCATCACTGCCCCGGACTCTCCACGCTGTTCCTCACATTTAGAACAGCTACCCTCCAAAGCCACAACGCGCCTCCACTTGGCTGTCAGGCTGCTTTTTAAAGGTCATTCCGATCTCTTCACAATTTGTCTGAAGCCAGTTTTGACAGTAAGCATGTCTGTCTCCAGTGGCATCCAGCCTTCACACTGTGACTGCAACTTGGAAAAGCCTCCTTTTAGGCAGTAGGGCCCTGACATCACACTCACGTTTTGAATCCTCCATGAACGCGTTTCCTGCACAGAACACTTCTCCCCCAGGAGAGGTGGTTTATGGGCCACTGCAGTGCAAACACAGCCAGAAAACCCCATAGTCATAAAAACGAGTCTCCTTTCCAAACACCAGCTCTGGCCAAAACACTACACCAGTAATTTTCCATTCGTTTTACAGCCTCTACTTGGGCCCCAGAAAATGTCACTTCAGAAGTACTTACTGCGATGCACACGTGTTTATAATTTACACGCTTGAGGTGGGATTTACACACTTGAGGTGGGGAAGCCGTGGCAAAACTTTTGTGGCAAGCTTTGTGGCAGAAAGATCTAGAAGAAAAGGTGGACAATGAAAACCAGCTGGGATTTGTTGGCATAACAGGACAGCAGATGAACTGTCTTCCTTTTTAATTTAGAATTCTTCTGATGTTTCTATTGTGATATTTTGAAGTATCTTTTGGTGGGAAAGAAAACTCGACTTAAAAAAAAAACAGGTCTG